TATGGCCGATGCACAGTTTGCAGATGATCCGCACCTTGCAGAAGCAAGAGGGCCAAAGCCCGAGCTGAGGTTGCATTGTTTGAGCTTGTTGCTGGCCGTTGCACCCCAGCAGCGCCATCGTATGTTATACAAAAAACTTTATTGCCGAGTAAAAGCCTTCGGCAGGGATTGATAAATCGCGTATGCATGGCGCCTGTGCTGACCGCTACATAGCAGCGTCAATCAACACGTTCTTCGCAATTCCAGCGTGGCCAGGAATAAAAAAACATGTAACTTCCTTTCCGGCCCAATCCAGTGCTGCCAGACAGCTCAAAAACCATGTACGAGGTTCTGCAACAGATCTGGCCCTTCTTGTGGTTGGTTGGCATAGATTCGGCACCATGATAGTTGCCGACCGGCCCGGCGCCGGGGAGGGAGCAGAGGGTTTAAGCCGGACGCTACCGCCCGCCGCAGACTGGTCGGCCGGCACGGAGGGAGCTCGGACTGCCTGCTGGGAGTCCGGTGTACGAGCCGAGGGTGAGAATGAGAGACCAAACGACCTCTGGAGTCCACGAACTGGATGACAGTCATTTGTGTGACAACATTGTTGTGCGGCAAAACAGTTTTTACTTCAGACGCGTACGAGGGCTTAGGCAGACTCGTATAGTCTCTGGCCTCTCGAAAATATATGGTTTTGGAGGTTTTAACGACAGCACTTCTCTTTCCCTACCGCACTCTGATGATGATTTGGGCTTTGGGGCGTACCGACTACAATAGCCATATGACGCCAATATCTTTCTTGTGATTCAACAGATGTGTGCCCACTCGAGATCCAGACAGCGACGCCAGCTGGCGGTCGGGTCCGAACGCCGCCGTCTCCTCCCACGCCGCCGTCGCGTCGACCCGGGGACGTGGCACGGGCCCAAGAACGACCACGTGGTGTCTTTGGGCGGTCCCGACACCGCTGCCCTGATCAGGTTCACCGGGGCCGCGCTGATCTTGTCGTTCCGGGCGTAGATGCAATTCTGGCCAGGCTAGAAAACGACCAGTCCGGTCGGGACCCCCCACTTCGATGGGACCTCCTCCCACAGGCCCACGGTCCCCTGCAGGAGGCCGGCCTGGCGTGTCCAGGTGTTGCCGCCTGTGGCCACGTTCATGGCCCTGGCGGTCCTAAACACCCTCCTGGCGTGGGAATCGCCGATGATCAGGTGGAACCCGTTCACGGGTATGGCCTTTGTTGCATGGTCCGAGGTAAGGCTGTCCACCAGCGGCCGAGGCCGTTCGAGCGATACCAGGCCCCGAGCCGGCGGCCGGCGGCGGGCCGTGCGCCAGCGCCGCAGCCGGGCCGGGACCCGACGGGCCGCCGCTCTCCAGCTGACGGTCCAGGTGACACACCCGTCTCTCCAGACTGGTCAGCCTCCCCTCCAGCGACTGGTTCTCCCAGGCTGGAGGAACGTCAGCCGCGGCTTCCAGGCGCGCCTCGAGCAGGGCGATGCGGGCGTGCAGCTGAAGCGTCTTCCCCACCCAGGCCGCTCGGTCGCCGCCGATCAGCTCCAGGTCCGTGTCGATCTCCTCCATGTAAGACATGGCACCTGAAAACCGATAATAACAGCGGCAGACACTTTTCTCATCTGGGCGGTGTACCGTTCGGGGGCTTAACAATTTGTTCACTGTGAGTACGATACAGTATGTCCGGCTGTTGGTCTACCCACCCCAGCAGCAGTAGCTCCTCGGCTCCGCTGTCCGCCTCGGATAATTCATCGCGGCGCGGGGAACCTGCTCCTGATTCCGGGTTCCCGTGTCGTTTGCTCTCTGTGGTCCCGGATCATGTTTATCGGTATAGGTTTTCAGCCTGTTGTGGCGGAGAACAACCTCACCCCGCCGCGGTAACCGCATGCGATACACCACCCAAGCATCGCCCCAAGGCCTCTCGATCACACTTCCCGGTCTGGTGAACGGTAACCCTAATTTCGGCCTGCCGCCTGCCGCGGCTGTCGGATCCGCCACCGTGGCCTTCTCTCCCGCCTTGTATCGAACCTCATGCACACTTAAAAAGACGAATCGTTCTCAGACAGATGCTGAGGGCGCTCCGGAACTGCCCCCGGGGAGACAAGAGGTCGACGAGGAGCCCTGGTCGATGCGTGTAAGTTTTTGATCTTGCGAAGGAATGTTCATCCTTAAACGCGCTCGACGTCAAATCGAGTGCAAAACAAACCAGCCTGTTTCGACTTTAGAACGATTTGGTGAGGGAAAGAAATATTGTGGAATGCGTTGTATCCCGTCCCTTTGTTTTGAGCGCTGGCCCCAGGTCACTGAGGGTGGGGTTCCTTAATTAGGTAGTTCTCGGTCTAAGTTAACAACACCGCTAATTGATGCTTGTTCCACCGGGTCCGACCTCAACAACCCATGCTGGTACGCGGGTTCCATGGACAATGTTGTTCTTACCGCGGACTGAAAGTGAAGTACCACAAACGGGTCCTAGCATGCTGTTCAATGCCACCACACTTTTGCCTCGTAACCAACATGACTTGCAAGTCGGTTGCAAAGCAATATTCGAAGAGAACACATGTAGGTGTTAATTTTATGATGCAAGCACAACGCCGCGAGATGTTCTACACCGTGGATGCAGTCAGCAGAAGCCCGGCCGCGCCGACTGAACAATTCGAGAAACTGTTTATTGGAATAACGGCAGGTGGACAAACCGTTGCGGTTTGAGTCCGCTTTCATTGTTGAAGACACACCATCTCCTTTTACTTCCGCAAGTCAGAATGCAACCTGAATCTAATGACAACGTCATCAAAAGATCACACTTCTATCCGTGTGTCCCTGAGAAATACCGGCCGCAAACATTTTGCTCTACTGCAACTCGCTTATACAACGTCGAAGGAGCTGAACGGGTGCTTCGTACGCTTGAGCAAAGCGAGACTTCAGGGGAGGCGGCCACCTGGGAGTGCCCAAAATTCAATGTTGCATCCATCTGTGTGTTGTTATTTAAGTTTCCCAGTGTGATGGGCCAACGCGCGCGGACGGGGTTCGTCTGTCTGTCGAGGTCTGTCTAAACACACCGAAATTACGGTGACCAATGGCGATATGTGTCATGCCAGTGGCGTACGCCGCTAGACGATGGATTGCCATCGTACACTGTGTCCCATTGTTAAATGCGGAACATCGCGAAACGCAGGGCATCAGTTGTGCGCTGTTCATGTCTGTTGCTCCATTTCACAGCGTCTCGCTTAAGAGCGGGGCTGTTCCAGCCCAACAGCCAAATATCAACCGGCTCAGCGAGCGTCTCGTTGAAGACCTATGCTGCTGCTACCGAAACCCGCGGCGTGTGGATGGCGTTGTTGTGCCGCGCTGGAGGGTGGTGTCGGGCCACCTGGCCGAGCTCCGAGAAGCCCTCCTAAATATCCAGCAGTGGAAGCCCACACGGGCATCGTGCTTGCACATCTGAACCAGCATACACAGCCGTCGTGGTCAGTGTTCAAATATGAAACATTCAGTAGTTGCGACGTTGCATACGCGATTGCTACCAATTCCGCAGACCTGCGTATGTATCTGCAACTAATCCTGTTCGCTACATTCTCAGATGGCCTCCCGATCGGATGGACAGATGGCAATTTTATCGGTGCCCGTGCACCCTTGCCACCAAAGCCGCTAATGAACCGTCTTGCGCCCATGCGGCACACCAACATAACTATGAACCCATTGCAATCTGGGTAGGCGTCCGACAATCACCCACTGCAGATCCCAAGTAATTATTACATACACGATGCCCACGTTCACGGACAACCTGTGGTCTCTCCAGGTACAACGCCCGGGCGAAAGCCCTGGAGCGCAAGTCGCTGTTGCAGGGGGTGCAGCTGCCGCCTGCTCGGCCTGTTGCTGCCGCCTCCCGCCCCGCCGCTGGAGCTGCGCGTGGTAAACATCCATCGACGGGCGCACCAGTTTATCTTGCCCACAACTACAGTTGGACGAGGAGGACCGTGTCGCCCGGCCACTACTCACCGGCGGTCGCCATCACCGGGGCCGACGCCAGCCAAGCGTGGTTACGTTAGAAGCAGCACAACAAATAAATGCTCTCGGTGCGGGGCCCAAGTCTCCCGCGACTCAGAACATAGGCGGGTGGGAAAGAGTCCCGCAAAAAAATTACTGTCCAGCGGCAAAGCCGAATAGGTCTTACGACGAGCGGTTTGACCAGTTGTGGTTTTTTTTTAGACGCTTCTGTCTTCGTTCCACAGTTTGAATGATTGCTTCGCAAGCCCGCCCGCCAACCGCCAACCAGTCTTAGAAGTACCCGGGTAAAGACTTTAGGACCATCTGCATATAGTCCTGTTGGCTGTGTGCACTACTAGTGTCACTACTCAATGAACAAGATATGAGCAAACAAACTTATTTGAATTATTTCAGTGACAAATTTCACTATCAACGATTCATCGCAGCACTTGACTGTTATTTCTTTGTGGCCTCAGATTCCCGAATCTTAAACTTTCGCCACCATGTTTTGCCGTTGACCTGGAATGTCACGATAGCATGGTAAGGGTCACGGCTCACGCAACAAGCACTGCTAAGCGCCAGTTCTAATCTCTATCATCCGTTCATTTCAAAGGTTCGATCTGGGTGCTTACAAGACACTGAAGTGAGTCATTCGTCGCAGCCTTTGCGACTGTGCGCGGAAACTACTCGTCGGTTTGTTCAAAATTGACATGGACATTGGTACGGTGAAGACAAAAAGGTCACTGAGAACGCCGACAATTGGGTCTTCGGTACACCTCTCTTCTCGGAAGGGAACCGCATGACGGCAGGTACCAACAAAGTTAGTTAACGAAGCGTGACATCAGCGGTGGGATATTTGGCTTTTATCAGTTGGGCCACGTGCTGATACGCGCCAGAAATGCCGATGGTGGAGGAAAAGCCCGATTCAGGCCGTAAAGAGCGTTCATCAAGCACGTTCAGGCCGCCGACATTTTCTGGAGGTGATCCTGAAGCATTTTTTAGGCAATTCAAGAGAATCGCGAGAGCCAATGGATGGAATGAAACTCATCAGCATGATGTGCTACCGGCTCTATTCGTGGGTAGCTATGAGTGGATAGTAGTTTATTTAGACGAGACCCGACCTGTGAGTGTGGAAGAAGTGGCAAGATGACTGTAGAGAAGTTATGTCCAGGGGAGAAACGCAGGGAAATGCTACATTCTTCGGGGAGATAAAAATGAAAGAGACTGATGAACCCAGGGCGTTTGTGAGTAAGCTACAAGAGCTGATACGTGCAGCCTTGCCAGATGTGGACAAAGAGACAAGAGAAAATCTAGTGATTGAAAGGATACCCAAGGCCGTCCCTGAAAAGGAGCCGCTCCAAACGCTGGACATGGACACATACTCGATAGAAGCTTACATCCGCAAGTTGGAGAGAATACAGTCAGCTGAGAGGATGCAGAAGGAGCTCCATGGTCCTGGCTCTGCAGAAACCCATCCTGTTCGCCAGACCAGGCAAGGTGCAGTGAGCAGAGATGTTCGGAGGAGCAGTGGGCCATGTTTCGTGTGCGGGAAGATGGGTCATTTTGCGGCTCAATGTTACAGTAGGGCCAACTCTTCAAGAGGACAGACAACTGATGGGCAGAAGAAGGTGGAAGGACAGGCACTGAAATGTTCCCAATGTGGAGGAGTGGGGCACATCAGCAGGCAGTGTCCGAGTCCCAGAGGAACACGGGTAGTGCCAGAGAAGAGACCAGATCAGCAGCCAGTCAGGAGGGTTGAGAACTCTGCCCCAGCGGAGGCGAGGATGCTAGCCACACTACAGGGAATTGAGGTCCCTGTTATCGCAGACACGGGCAGTCCTATCAGTCTGGTCAGTGAGACTCTAGCTGCTCAGGTAGGAGAGGGGTGGACCTCATCACAGGAAGACTTGAGGGCTGCTAATGGGACAGCAGTCCGAACTCTAGACACGACAAGTCTGGAAGTTGGGATTGGGAGCAAGAAGATAGTGCACAGTTTTATCGTGGTGGAGGACATGCTGGATTCTGCTCTCGTGGGCTAGATGTTCTTCGCAAGCTGGGTGCTATGGCTGACTGTGGGAGAGAAGAGGTAATACTTGATGGCCTGATGTTCCCATGGGACAGGAGTATTAGAATGTCAGCCCCTGTCACATGTTCAGGCCGCTCAGAGACCTTCATGAGGGTGTACCGGGTTGGCCTCATCAGACCCATGCTGTTTGAACCTGAGGAAGTTGAGGGGTGTATAGATTGCTCCTGCTTTTCACATGTCAGGCTCAGGTGTCCCTGTGCGTGTGATCGACCATGGAGATGAGAGTGTGGTCATTCTAGCAGGCACAAAACTAGGAAGCTGTGATCCAGTGGAGGTGACTGCCACGGCTGGAGCTGCTGTGGGCGGCACATCGTCTTCGGTGGAGGTGACTGCCGCAGCTGGAGATCGTGGGGGTGGCACACCATCTTCACCAAAGCTGCCTTCATTGGGTCACCTGAGTGAAGAGGAGAAGAAGCCGTTCCAGAATCTTCTGGAGGAGTATCGGGATGTGTTCTCCCAGTCAGTTGAAGACATCGGAAAATACCAAGGGACCCACCAGCTGGTCATCACCCACGACAGCCCCCCCCCCCCCCCCTGTCCATCAGCGGGCGTATCGCACGCCACTGCATCTTCGAGGACAGCTGAAGGAGAAGCTGAATGTGCTGCAAGGAGCAAGGAGTGATCGAGGATTCCAAGTCACCGTGGTCGTCACCTGTTGTGATGATCAGGAGGAAGGACGGAGGAGTCCGGTTCTGCTGCGACCACCGAGCGGTGAATGCCAGTCATCAAGCACGATTCCTACCCCCCTGCCAAGGATCGGAGACCTGTGGAAGTTCCACCACCCCCCTCTCCAGCTAATTCGCTAGATTTGGTACATTTCAATTGGAAAAACCCCCTTGTATTGGCTGCATCGTACGAAAACGCGGACGCTTCTTGCTTTACAATAGCCCATTCGGCACTTTGTTTTCCGACCCATTCAAGGCGAGACTGGATTTCCCGGGGTTCTACAAAAATAATGAGGATTCAGGACCCGCGGATTGCATACCTTGCAGATCGAGACGGGGTCGATAATTTGCATTGGGCTATACAACGTGTTGGCCCGATGCTGTTTCACACCCTTCACATTTTCACATTTAAGAGAATGCTTCGCATTTGAAGATACTGACACCGACATGACTGTCTACACCTATTGCAATCTGGGTAGGCGTCCGACAATCACCCACTGTAGACCCCCAAGTAATTATTACATACACGATGCCTACGTTCACGGACAATCTGTGGTCTCTCCAGGTACCACGCCCGGGCAAAAGCCCTGGAGCGCAAGTCGCTGTTGCAGCTGCCGCCTGCTCGTCCTGTTGCTGCCGCCTCCCGCCCCGCCGCTGGAGCTGCGCGTGGTAAACATCCATCGACGGGCGCACCAGTTTAACCTGCCCACAATTACAGTTGGGCGAGGAGGACCGTGTCGCCCGGCCACTACTCACCGGCGGTCGCCATCACCGGGTCCGACGCCAGCCAAGCGTGGTTTCGTTAGAAGCAGTACAACAAATAAATGCTCTCAGTGCGGGGCCCAATTCTCCCGCGACTCAGAACATAGGCGGGTGGGAAAGGGTCCCACAAAAACAAAACTTACTACCCAGCGGCGAACCCTAATAGGTCTTACGAGTGTTGCAGTAGTTTTTAGTTTAAAACCAGTTGTAGTTTTTTTAGACGCTTCAGACGCTTCTGTTTCCGTTCCACAGTTTGAGTGATTGCGTCGCAAGCCTGCCCACCAACCGCCAACCAGTCTTGGAAGTGCCCGGGTAAAGACTTTAGGACCATCTGTATCCGTTATAGTCTGTTGGCTGTGTGCGCTACTAGTGTCACTATTCAATGAACAAGATATGAGCAAACAAACTTATTTGGATTATTTCAATGACAAATTTCACTATCAACGGTTCATCGCAGCACTTTATTGGTACTGTTATTTCTTTGTGGCCTCAGATTCCCGAATCTTAAACTTTCGCCACCATGTTTTGCCGTTGACCTGGAATGTCACGATAGCATGGTAAGGGTCACGGCTCACGCAACAAGCACTGCTTAGCGCCAGTTCTAATCTCCATCATCCGTTCATTTCAAAGATTCGGTCTAAGTGCTTACAAGACACGTAAGTGAGTCATTCGCTGCAGCCTTTGCGAGTGTGCGCGGAAACTACTCGTCGGTTTGTTCAAAATTGACATGGACATTGGCACAGTGAAGACAAAAAGGTCACTGAGAACGCCGACAATTGGGTCTTCGGTACACCTGAGCCGTGTTGGTCAGAATGAACTCTGCAACTTACGGGTATGAATGACGTCAGAAGAAATGAACGACTGTTATTGGTACAGGGAATATTAACTTTCTATCAGGAGCCATGCACGAT